TTTTATACAGCTTTGACTAAATTGTTTTGCAACCTTTACGACACTGCAGATTGTGACAGCAGGGCATCCAACACTAATGGATTTTAAAAGAGTTGAGAATTAAAGCCATACAGTTTAGACTGAGAACAGCACAAGAATTATTTACTGTAATTTAGGGTAAGCAGAATGAATCCATGCTAGTGGAGAAAGTTCCTGAAAGATGTTTAAGCTTTTTTTGGGAGTTGAACATATTGGTTTTGCAGCTTTTGATGCTAGGCTGCATAGAAGCAGAGACTATTGCAGGTGCTGATGAAGTAGTTTATTCCCTCAGTTAGTTCCTTCAGACATAATCTGGCAATCACTTGCTCCTGACAGGAAAGTTACCTTAAGTAGTAGTTTGACCTGCACAAGCATGAAAAAAAAATTGTTTAAATTTCAAGCCATCTATTCCAGCCTTCTTACTGGCAGTGGTGCTTCCATTTTCAATTCTCTCTTTACATCTGACACAGAGCCCCAGAAAGCAAGAGATCTGCTTCAGTCAGTGAAGAGATGTTTGGGGAAACAGCCTGACAATGCCAACTATGTATAATGATGACAGTTCATTGGCGTCTCAAACCTTGTCCACAAGTGCAGTTGCATAGTTTCAGTTGAGCCAAATTAACAGCTTCCTAGCAAAAGGTCTCCTTGTCTCCTGTCTCACAGCTCAGTTAGTTTTCTGCCATTTTAACAAGCTAAACTGTCATACCACCCAATTAAACTAGAGACAGTGCATGGGAAGCAGTAAAGTCATGCACCTGGGGATGGAAGATGTTATCCATCACAGTGACAGTGATCTGTTCAATAAACTCAGGCCAGAGTATGACAACAAAACAAATGAAAAGCAAACAAACAAAAAAGAATATCCAGTACTTCTGGAAAAGACTAACTATGTAAATATTCCCCTTTCATTGGCACCCTGGACACTTGGCCCAGTTTCAAGCTATTAAATATTATCCAGGTGTTTTACACAATACTTGACATTATTTGGTGATTTAACTTTTGCAAGTTTAGACAATTTAATTACTACAGCAAAAAATGCAAATTGGAAGCTATGCTGTATGCATTAGTTTTTGACATTTTAATTACAGAGATAGTTCTGAATCTGTTCTCATTTTTGAAAACACCTAGTTTGCATGAAACGTTCAGAAGTTAATGCAAATATTAATACAGCCATATTCACACTCATATTACATCACCTTATTTACATAGTTAATTCTGCTCTGTAGCAGAATAATTAGGCCCACAGTGACGTACCATTGTAGTAAAAATAAGATTTTATCATGTAAGTCACTTGCCTTATTCTCATGTTTTATGAAGACACTGGAGCATACAGATGGAACTATTTTTCTTGTAAACCTCCTCCACCCACTGAGTATTTCATCTAATACAGCAGGCCTTGAAAAACAATTGCTTTCTGTTACTGGTGAATTGGACTCTGCAGCAAGTGCAGTGAGGGGGAGTCAAGTTTTCCCAAGAGTTTCTACATCTGTGGTCACAAAGAAAACCTCCTAAATGTTAACTGAGTCAGCACCATCTTTTGAACCTGTATTCAGTCCAACGTATTGATTCAAGGTTTCCCAACTAACTGCAAAATAAGGACAGACGATTTTTGCTGATGCTATTCGGAAGCACTTGGGTAACATCGATACTGACAGAGTTTTTCCATTATTTGGAAAAACTATGAGCACTAGCAAGCACAAAGGAGGCCAAGAGCCAATGAGAAACTCATTAAGCTGCTTAAACCGATCTAAATCTAGGCTGTTGAGGTCACATCCCGCCCCCGCCACATATTTCCACCCCCTTCCTTCAGCCAATGCTAGTGTTTACAGAAGCAGGTGGTGGTGTGCCAGTTCAAGGCAAAAAAAAAAATAAGGCAAAAAACAGACCAAACCAAAATCTAACCAATACATTGCTTTGGGAGGACAGTTTTCAACCTGATCAATTCTGTGAACAGGTTTAAGGAGCTGCACAGTACCAGCATCAGGGCAGAGGAGGGAGATAGGAGCACAACAGCTGGGAATTAAGAGTAGTTTAAGCTTCTATGAAACTGAAACCTAACAAAAAACTGGAAGCTCTTGAGTTTATTCTTAGCTGTCCAAACCCTTTCACACACTGATCAAACTCCAGACTACAGATGGAGGTAGATTTCTTTTCTTTACTGTCGCTTAATATGTCCAAAATCCATTTATTCTGTCGGTGAGAAATCTCATTTATTAGTCGTAACTCATTCATGACTGGCTATTAACAGAGGCACAATAGTGATAACTGCACTGCATTTATAAACCCTCAAACCAGAGAAGATTAAGGAAAGGATAAGAGGCAGACATAATTTGTTTTCCAGCACTTAAGAAGCAGGAAAGGAAGAGGGCTGATGTAAGAGGAAGCAGCTCTCCATAGTGAGTAGACTTCTTTGCAGTGCCTGGAAAAGGGAAAGTTTCTGTGTCCTTTTTGCCACAGCAAAAGCAATGATAAAATATAACGGATACAAGCTGATGTTAAGAGACCATCCCTTCAGACACAAGTGGTTATTAGAAATCCCACTTCCCAGAAAGGAGAACATAGCTGTTTGCTCATGCTGGCTTTGATACTTACAGGTTGGGTAAGGAAGGAGATCAATTGCACTTTTATGCTGTATTTATTAAGCTGTAATTTTTCTATCCTTTAGCAGTACAGCACAATTAGAATTTAACAAGTATGTCCAACCCAAATTTTAAATGCTTTATGTCCTGGCATTATCATGAGTATTAAGGTCCCCTTCACTTTTTACTCAACTAACAGTAATTTGGGGCTTAATCTGGCAGTGCGAGAAATACAGTTTGCAGATTTTGCAGATGAAGTATCTGCACATTTCTTTTGTCTAAGACTGTTCTGATTTTTTTGCATTCTGCCTTTGGGAGATTAAAAAGCGATTTGTTAATTGATAATTTAAAAAATTATCTCTGGTACAGGCGGTCACCGTGAAAACACACAGACACCTGCACCCAAGCTTTTAAAAGGTAACAAGGGATAAAGACACTGTCAGGAAACCAGGCTGCAACTTTGCAAAGCTCACCTTTTCCTCACGCACCACACACTGCAAGCATGCTCTGAAGTCCTCAAACTGATGATAGGCACACTGGGTTTGTACCAGAGGGCCAGCGTGAGTCGGGTATGCCCTGTCGGTGTTTTTGTTTTTTTTTTTTTCCTTAGCATTTCCGCTCTCCAGTGACAGGCGCCCGGAGCCACTCACTACCCAGAGCGGCTCAGGGCGGGGGGTGCAGCGATCACTCGCTTCCCACGGGCTGAGGAAGAGCCTACAGGAGGCTCGGGGCGCTGAGGACACCTCGTCTCGCACCGCTGTCCCCGCTCAGCCCGCGGGGCCACCTGGAGACGTGGCTGGAGCCTGGGAAGACCCGCCGGGATCACCCCGATCCCGGCGGGAGCGCCCCGGACGCGCCGGGATTCGAGGGGGGGCCGGGCGGGGGCGCCCTCAGCCCCGCCCGCATGGGTGACGCGGCGCGAGGCGCGGCCCACGTGACGCGCGCAGCCAATGGGCGGGCGCGGCCGGTCCCCGCGGGCGGGGGAGGAAGG